GCCAAGCGCTTTTCGAAATGCTTAAAAAACGCCGTTATTTTACCGAAAGATTTTTGGGCGGCAATCGAAGCGTTATTTTGCTTTTTCGCTTAAATACTAATAATGCAGAAATATAACGCAATATTTTGGGTAATTTCCAATGTTGCAATGCTGGAAACTTTGCGTTAAATGCAATCCTAAATAGCGGTTTAACGCTTATAACGCGCAAATTGTTTGGCCGATATGGTATAAAAGGATTTAGCTTTTTAAATAACTTTGCGGGCCCAAAATTAAACTTGGGTAAGCTTTTCAAAAAGCTTTGGAATTTTATTAAGCTACCGTTTATAAATAACATTAAGGATTTTTTGAAAATTTTAAGCAATTTTTTTAAAACTATTTGGGAAATTCGACGCAAATTTTATTGCTAATTACGTTTTTGTAATAAATGCATTTGGAAAATCCCGTACAATTATCGGTACAAACCGGTACGCAAAAGTTAACGGCATAATTTTAATATGCTTAACGGCCCAAATAATAATTGCAAAGCATTAAACGCTTTATATAAATATTTTTAAGCTTCGTGGTGCAGTGGCTTCGCACCAGGCCGGTCCCGCCAGGACCACGGGTTCGAATCCCGTCGAAACCACAAGGACTTTTTGTTTTTAAGCCCTTGGCTTGCCAGGATCGAAATCCGATAAAGGCCGATAAGCTTAATTAACCAATATTAATAACGCCGATAAACAACCAATACAAAAAAACCACAACAACCTTATCGATTTCGATAGCAGCCCCCCCCCCCCCCCCCCTACTTTTCCCTTATCTTTGCGCTACCGCCTTACACCCGTTTGTTATTACCACTGATCCGATTTCGAATGCACCCTTATCACGTGCATAGCAGGGTTACTACCTTGCACGTGCCCTTAAAGGTTGGGGCCCTTTGGGGCACAAATAAAAAGAAAGATAACGCACGTGGTGCACCGAGTAAGGGAACGCCGATAGCGGGCTAATAAAGGAAAAAAGCAAAAAGATAAGGAAAGGAAGGGATAGGGGAAGGGTTCCCAGGTGCCCTGAACCATTTGGGCAAGCAGAATAAAGTTGGCGATTCGAACTCCCCCGAAGCGATAACGATTAAGGCCCCGGCAAGCCCTAGCAAATTACATAACGAAGCAACCAACCAACCAATTTAAGGCGCAGGACGCGGCTTTGCCGGCCCCCTGCAAAGGGGGCTGCATTTGGGAGGACGGTTAATTCCCGAATGGAGCCTTTCAAGCAATCGAGCGTGGAAAAAAGTAAGCGTTAGCCAAAGCGGTTCAACACCGCTACGGAAGCGCACCGCCAGAAAGGCGGGAACGCAAGCATAAGGTTTTTCCTCTTTAAGCCCAACCCAAAGGTTTTCCCCCATTTGCATATACCTAGCAGCAGCACTAAGGTTTTTTTTATAAACATAACAGCGTATAAATAAATAAATAAAATATAAATATTTTTAAAAAAAGGCAAATAAATAAGGTTTTAATTGCTTTTTTATTAAAAATTAACAATTGTTTCCAACGGAATGTTAAAAGCACGGGCGAAACCGCCCGGCAAAAAGCGGGGAGCGTTAAATGCACGGGCGAAACCGCCCGGCAAAAAGGAAAAAAGGGGCACTGGCACAATTGGCCGGGCACGGACCCTCCCGGTAACGTGCCGGCGAAATGCTGGTATTGCGGCCAAAGCATAATAACAAAATTAAAAAATAAAGTAAAGCTTAAATTGCACGAAAGCGCATGGAGCGCGAAAAATTTATAAAATCGACCCCGCGTGCCCGAAAGGGCACGAAAGAAAGGGAGGTTAAAAAAAGAACAATTTTTGTTGGAAATAGCACTTTTGGTAAAAGATTTACGGAGGTTTAACAAAAAAAACACCGTATCCGGCCCGTAACTTGGTAATTACCCGCTTTTGCACCGATTAACCCTTGATACGGAATAGCATTTCGAATATTTATATAAAGCAAAAAAGCAATAATATTTATTTTAACCGCAAAATTATTAATATCGAAAGCTTTGCGGCAACGTTCGTTGCGCGCGTTGCGTTTTTTTTAACGGCGAACTTTTTAGGGCTGCAAAAGGAAGCTACCGGCAAATTACTAATAAAGCGTTTGCGGGACCAAAAGGGGGCTAACGGACCCGCGGCAACGGGAAAGCTTAAAGTAAGTTCCAAACCGGAATCCGGATTTTTTACAACCGCAATGTTATTAAATAACATTTGCAATTACCGGTTAAACTTAAATAGTTTAAAAAAAGCGGCTAAATACCGGTTACTTACCGTTATTATCGTTAAAGGTTTTAAAATGGTATTAAAAGTGCAAAAGGATAAAAAAGGCTTGCAGCTTTAAACTAGCGGAAAAGCCCCTTTTATACCGCGGTTAACCCATTTTTTAAAACATTAAAAAATTTACAACCGGTTTTCCAACGTGCAACCGGGCGTTAGGGCAACTTAACGAAATACCGTTACTTACTAACCACCTGAAAAAAACTTTGCGCAACATTTGCGGCTTAAAATAAACTGTATTAAAAAAAAGCCATATGTTAAATGCACGGGCAAAACCGCTTGGGCAAAAAAAAAAAGGTGCTGGAATAATTAAAAAAGCACGAACCTTTCCAATAACGCACCGGTAAGCTAGCGGTATTGCAATTAAAACATAACGGCAAAATTAAAAAATAAAACGAAGCTTAAATTGTATGGCAGCGCTTGGAGCCCGGGGGGGATTTATAAAACCAACCCCGCGTTTTCCAAAAGAGCACGAAAGGGGGAAAGGTTAAAAAAGGAATAATTTGGGGCAGCATAGCACTTTTAAAAAGGAATCGAGCTGGCTTAAGCAAGGGAAATACCGCATCCGCTTAGTGCTTTAGTAATTACCCGCCCTTGCACGGATTAACCTTTAACATTACCCCTTTTACCTGCAACATATAAGTATATATTTTAATAGGTTATATAAAAACCCGTTTTTCGGTTATATAAAAACGGTTACGTTATATTTATATCATTTTTATACGATTTTTAAATGCTTTATAAAACAATGAGTTTTTGTGTAAAAAGCGGGGGAAAGGTGCGCCGAAAAGGGGGGTGCGCTGACAGGGGGTGCACTAACTTAGTGCATAGCATTTGCATTAAAATCCATAAGGCCAAAGTGTAAACCGTAAGCCGTAGTTTTCTTGTCCGCTGGTTAGTCCGCGATCGATGGCTATTTTTGCAGTTGGGAGTGCGCCGAACCTTGAAGGAATGCCCAGCCAAGATAAAATGGCGAAAATTTCGAGAATATAAGGTGGGAGGTACTTAATGACTAGCAAGGAAAATATGTCACTCTTTTCTGGGTTGGAGGGATCTTGATGGTAACATGTTTGGCCGTCCTAAGTCAATGCACACCCTGTCGACGCACCCCCCCTGTCGACGCATTCTGTAAGCCCACAACATGGAATCTTTTAAAGTACTCCCGCCCTCATATTTCTGTCAATTCTAGTCCGTTTTCCTTACTTTTTTTTGCATTTTAATGCCCAAATGCCGGAAAAGCAATATATAAAAAAAAACGTTAAGCAAACCTTTGCTGCGGTGCGCACAAAGGGCGGGATTCGAAAGGCTGCCCGGCTTTATAAAATCCCAAAAGCTACTTTTAAAAAACGTATAAAAAGCGCTTTACTTATCCAATAATTACAAAAAGGATATTAACGGATACCTTTTAAGCAAAAAAAGCGCTTGGTTAATTGGATTTTATTACAGGACTTTTTAAGCTTTTTACCAACGCATGCGGAAATCCGGTTTTTTGCAAAAAAAATATTCCGGTTTGGGGGTAATTCCTAACCTTTCGAAAAGCATTAAATTCGTGCTTTTTTAAGCCAATATTTAAAAATCCAAATGTTACAATTAAGCCTCTGCTCTTAAGGTAAGGCACTAAAGGAGTATCGAATAGTAGCACGTAATTTAACAAATTAAAAGGATTTACAAAGTAATTTGGGTACGGTTTAAATGCTTGCTCCAAAGGTTGCTTGGAAGCTAACTAAAGTTTAACTAATGCCAAAACCTTAATTAAAAATTACTTAAGACAATAAAAAACCCTTTCCTTTTTATACTTTAATGTTTACTTTATTGGGGTTGTAAATTAGTTGGCTTATTAAGCTAACTTTGTAAGCCTTTTTAAACCTTTTTTGGATTAATAGCTTACCTTTTTTGCTTTTTTAATCCATTAATTTTAAATGGTTACGTAATTTTTTACCCTTTATAAGGGTTTCCGTGCCGTATTACCTTTCCTTTTTGGGTAAAAGTATTTGTTGGTCGTAATATTAAGTTTTTCTTTTAACGGTTAAGCCTTTTTAGCCACGTATTATTGTTTTTTTCGCCCTTTTGTTAATCGTAAGTACTTTTTTTTTTATTATTTAACCGTTTTTTTTAACAAAATGTTTAAACGAATTTAAAAACGTTTGGTTTGGAAAATTATCCAGCGGTACGCTTTGCTATTTGCCGTTTTTAATTTTTCGATTTTAATACCTTTTTATTTTGTTTGTAAAGCCGTTGGTTTTTTTTTATTAAATATTTTTAAAAAACTTTTTTCGTTGCGCTAAATGCGTTTGTTTAAAACGTGCTTGGTGCAACGTTTTGGGGGTTTTTTTAACCAATTGCGCAAAATTGCTAAGCAACATTTTAAGCTAAACGCCGAGCTTGTTACCGCCGAGCGATTTTGCCGTTAAGCCAAAAAGTTAATGCGCGCTAAAAACGATCGGGTTTAGCATTTGCGCACCCAAAAAAACCTATAATTTAAAAAAATAATGCGCGCTATTCGTTGCGGCATTAACAACGTGGAAAAATTAAAGCGTATTAAATAAAAGGAAATTAAACGAGCTATTGCTTTAACGGTAGCTAGTTTCGCTTTTTGGCTTTAATTTAATTTCTTTTTTTACTTTTTGGCTAGGTAAAGTTAAAGGTTAATTTTAATTTTAATTTGCTGCCCTTTTTTAATTTAATAAGTTATAACTTCCTTAATAATTCCTTTTGGTTGTATAGCGCAATGGTAGCGCGCTTGCTTTTGTAGCGGAAAGTTTTGGGTTTAATTCCCGGTACGACCTAATTAAATCGACGATATTGGTTTCCCCAGCCGGGGTCGTCAGTTTAACTTTTTTTTTTTTTTGCTAATTCCGAAAGTTTAAAATTTGGTATCAATTTTAAATTGCTTGCGCTTTTTTAATCCGGTAAATTGTAATTTTTTTAACAATTTTTACAAATTGTATAGCGCAATAGTAACGCATTTGTTTTTGTAACGGGAAAACCTAAGTTCGATTTCCGGTGCGACTTTGCATAAAACGTTTTCCAAAAAACGTTTTATGCAGCCATTTTTGCTTGCTTGCCAATTTATCCCGTAAATACATTGTTGGATTTTCCTTTTTTACTTTCCAAATTTTTCCAAATTTAAAGCGTTTTACAAGCTTTAAAATTATTGCTAACTTTTTTTAAATAATATTCCTGCAAAGCTTTTTGGCAATTCCTAAAATTTGTTGTATTTTTTTACGTATTGTGCTTATTTTTTTAGCTTTTCCATTTAACGAAATATTGCTTTTTGCGGTAACGCGTTCGCTTGTTAAAAATAGCCTTAACTTTTTACTTTTGGTTAAGGTTAATTTCCATTAATTCGGTGCTTTTAAAGCCCGAAAGCGCTGGTTTTAACAAAAAAACGTAAAAAATTAAATGAATGCGCATGGTTGGTAATAGTTAAAATTTATAATTAACCGGAAAAATAACACGGGTAACCCGAAAAAGTCCCCATTTTTTCCTGTCCAGCTTGTTGCTTGGCTTTTTTATTTTAATATTAGCACGTAAAAAGTAAGCGTTATCCCCTTTTTTAAAGGTTAATTTTTCGATCTTTTTTTTGTTAGCTTGCTTTGTTATTTAGTAACGCAAATTTTCCAATTTATTTTGGAAGTTTTGGTGCAATTTAATAAATTTCGTTATTTGGATTTCCGTTGCTAAAGCTTTAAATCCGGCATTGGGCTCGTTGTACGCCGTAAAAATGTACTTATAATTAGCGTAAAACGGCGTTTTTCTTGTGCTTTTATGCATAAAATTATTGTAAGCAAATTAAGCAATTGGTAATAATTGGACCCAATTGTTTTGTTTGTAAGTAACATAATGGCGCAAATATTGCTTTATCGTTTTATTGGTTTGCTCCGTTTGTTTGTCCGTTTGGGGGTAATACGCTATTAACAAAGCGTATTTTATTCCGAAAAACGCCGTAAGCGTTTTCCAAAATTTGCTTGTAAATAGCTTGTTTTGGTCCGTAATTAGTTTTTGCGGCATCTTGTAATTCGTTATTACGTACCGAAAAAAAGCGTAAGCTAAAATGGGCGCGTTATTACTTTTTTTGTATAGTAAATACAAAGTATACTTTATAAGCTTGTCGATTATTACCAATATGCTATTATATTATGTTTCCGTTAAGGGCTTTTTGGATTTAAAAAGTTTTACAACAAAGTTTATAATAACTTTTTGCCATGCCTTTTTGGGCATTGGTAATGGTTAAAGCAGCTTATAAAAAAAGTGCTTGTTAGGCTTATTTTTAGCGCATATTTGGCAATTTTTTATTGCTTCCAGCATTGCCGCCCGGGTTCCGGTAAACCCGTAATGCTGTTGGAGCTTTTTCCATATTTTAATGGCTTTTAAATGGCCATAAGCCGGTAATTTATGGATTTCCAAAACCTTTTTTGGGGTTTAATTTTGCTTTTTGGTTGTTAAAGCCATTGTTTGTTAAGCTAAAACCAACGCTTTTTTTGGCTTATAGGCCAAAAGCGTTTTGGTTTCTTTTAAAATAGCGATTTCGTAGTTGCCTTTTTTGCTTAACGCGTTTGCCCTTCCGTTTTCCGATCCTTTTCGGTACAAAATTTGGAAATCGTAATTTTGAAAATACTAATTCCAACGGATTTAACGCTTGTTAAGGTTTTGGCTTGTAGTAAAATGCGCTAAATTTTTATGGTTGGTATATACCGTTACTTGGTAATTTGCTTTATACAAATATACCTTTTATTTTTTCAAAGCTTTAATAATAGCGAAAAGCTTTTTATTATGGATTTGGTAGTCCTCGTGGCGCAATGGTTCAGCGCTGGGAGGTTCTTTTTGGAGGACGCAGGTTCGACTCCTGCCGGGGATACCGGGTTTTTTGTTTCGCACGTGCAAAAAAGCGATTTATTAAGCCCTAAACCGTTCCGACGTTTTTCCGAACAGTTAGTCCCTACAACAAAAAAAGCCCACAGCAATAAAAGATTTTATCCTTATCGACGAGCTTTATGGCATTTACGTGCGACCTCCCTTCGATTCCAGCGAAGCCATTTGCGACCCGTTAGCGGGGTTTTTTACCCCCGAGCCCTGTAACGCACGTGCCGAAGGTTTGAGCAAAAGGCCCTTTTAAGGCACGTGTAGCTTGTGGACGCACAGGTTATAGGGCAAGCAAAAAAATAAGGATTTCGGGCCAAAATAAATCCGACCGGTTATCGGAATAGTAGCGCCGGGGTTGCGGCGAGGGATAAAAGTACCGATAGCGACGAAAGCAATTCCGATAACAAAATCGGCCGATAAAATAATAGCACCAATTAAAAAAAAAAGGAACCGTTTTTAAAAGGGCGCGTTTGGCCCGGAAAATAAAAGGAATACGCTTTGGCTGGAAAAAGTGGAACCCAATAATCGACGAGTAAGCTTTATAGTAAAATAAAATATTGTTAATTCGGTTGTTTGGACCTTATAAATAAAACCTGGATCGTAATGTGCTATTTGGGATCGTAGCGCGTGGGTTATAGCGCGCTTTTTATGTACGCTCGTATTCGTGCCTTTTTAATTACTAATGTAACTTTATGTGCAGGATTTTTACTTACGAAAAAAACGCGCAATTGCAAAACTTTCGAAGGGAAAGGGTTTTTATCCAGCCTTATACCAAATAGTTATCGGCTGGAAGCACGGTTTCCTCCTTTATGTAATTAACCCGATCCGTAGTGCTCCCCATGTGCTATACAGCTCGAACGGGGTAAATAAATCTATATATATATATATGGATTTGGTAATTTAATTTAAATTTTTTAAATTTTTGCGAAAAAAAAGCGCAAAAGTGCAGCTTTCCTTTTTTATTTCGTTAATTTAATTGTCCTTTAATTGCGTAATTTAACGCGTTGGTTTCGATTTCGAATGGTTTGTTGGGGTTCGGAATAACCAGTATTAATTCCCGTAAAATAACGCTTTTAAGCTATTTAAAAGCAGCTTATTTTCGCGCCCCCCAATAAAATTAAATGTTATTTTTGGTAAGGTTTGTAAATGGCGTAGCGTTACCATTAAACCTTTGTATAAACCGTTAATAAAAATTAAAAAACCCCAAAAACGCCCGTACCTTTCGTACGTTAATAAGCGCTAGCCAATCGGCCATTTCCTATATTTTAATTAAATTTATTTTAACTTTTTTTAGCGTAATAACGAACCCGAAAAAAATTATTTCCTGGGCGTGCCATACGCATTTATTCGGGTTAATTAAAAGCTTTGCGTTTTGTAGTTTTTGCAACATTTAATGCATTTGTTGCTTGTGCTTTTTTAGCGTTTTTAAATATATTAAAATGTTATTTAAATACGCTAAAACGAAAATGTCGAAATGCTTTTAAAGCACGTGGTTAATTATTTGCTAAAACGTAATTAGCGCATTGGTAAGTTCGAAGGTTATAACCAACGATTTATATACGCCAAACCGTATTCGGAAGGTAATTATCCATTTTTGTCCTTTTTTAATCCGAAACAATCCATATGCTTTCCGGAAGTTTAAAGCCGTAAAGTACTTAGCTTTGCCGAATTTATTGCGTAATTTATTGTATTTATACGCTGTTATATTTATAAAAGAAACCTTAATGCTGCGGCTAAGTACATGCAAATGGGGGAAAACCTTTGGGTTGGGCTTAAAAAAGAAAAACTTTATGCTTGCGTTTCCGCCTTTTTAGCGGTGCGCTTCCGTAGCGGTATTAAACCGCTTTGGCTAACGCTTACTTTTTTTTACGTTTAATTGCTCGTAAAGGTTTTACCCGGGAATTAACCGTTTTTCCGCGTGCAGCCCCTTTTGCAAAGGGCCAATTGTTAAAAGCACGGGCGAAACCGCCCGGTAAAAAGCGGGGAGCGTTAAATGCACGGGCGAAACCGCCCGGCAAAAAGGAAAAAAGGAGCATTGGCACAATTGGCCGGGCACGGACCCTTTTGGTAACGTACCGGCAAAATGCCGGTATTGCGGCTAAAGCATAATGGCGAAGCTAAAAGATAAAATAAAGCTTAAATTGCACGAAAGCGCTTAAAGCGCGAAAAATTTAAAAAACCAACCCCGGGTGCCCAAAAGGGCATAAAAAAAAGGAAATTAAAAAAAAACAATTTTTATTGGCGATAGCATTTTTAGTAAAAAATTTACGGAAATTTAATAAAAAAATACCGTATCCGGCCCGTAACCCGGTAATTACCCGCTTTTGTACCAATTAACCTTTAACATATTGTTCTTTTTTTTACCTTTTTTATTTAAAGAACAAGCCCGGGTAATTACCGGAAAGGATCGAACAAATTTAAAAAAGGCATTTGCAACTTCGTACCGCTTACAATAACGCTTAACGCTACGTTAAATACGTTGGAAAAAGCCGTTGGGCCATCGGAATAAAATACCAAAAAGCCCCGTAAATTTCCAACGATTTCGAAAACCTTTCCGTAAAAAAGCTGCAAAAAATAAACAACGCGCTAAAGGCCTAAAGCAAACGCGCCCGCTTAATTTAAAAAATTTAAAACAAAAGGTTAAAGCATGCGCATAAAGGTTTAAACGAAAATAAAAAAAATACTTTTAAACGACGGAAAGGCCTTACGTAAAATGTGGTTACTTTTAAACTTTTTATGCTTAAAAAATTGGCAATTTGGCAAAATATCGCCCATTACATTAACAATTACAAATTTATTTTCGAAAACGAAAAGGAACGTTACGGTAAAAACCGTATAAAAGTCCAAATAGCTTCCAGCACTTTCGATTATTAACAATAAGCATAATAAACAAAATATAAGCAAATGCATTATTTAAATACCG